GAGAAGTGTATAAGCCAAAAAAAAAAAAAAAGTTAATCTAAAAAATGGAAATGAAGTCAAGTGAAGTGGGAAAAAAGTACACCTCATTTTTTTTGTTCTCATCTCCTCTCACATATTCACAGAAATAGAAATATATCTTGACTGTAATTCAAAAACAATGTATGTGTTACACGTCATGCATCGGCAACTAATACTACTTCTTCTTACTTTCTCATTAACACCTAAGAATTTGTCTTCTTTTTTTTTTTTTTTTTTTTTTTATAACAATAGCAATAAATTATAAAGCAATCGGTTACAGCTCATATGTGTAATCAATTTTATTTCGTAGACAGTGTCAATAGAGGTGATATGTAAAACAATATTGCCGGCATTCGTTTAAATTTTGCATTACAATTATATTTATATCAACCATGCAATCTTCCTGCTGTGTACATCTTGAAGATCAGGAATATCATATGAAGAGTCTAATCAGCACAAAAGTGTTATCTTTCACCAACTATCAAAATGATCATTTTTTGCTTCTTTTCTTTTTTTTTCATCACTACTTGTATATTTTAATCAATATACAACTCAGTGTGACGAAAATATGAGAAAAAAGAAAAGTATGAAGTATCATTTAATCTGTGAAATAAAAATTTATTTCATATATCATAATGTATTAAGAAAAAAGAAATTTGTTCGTTAATATATATATTTTTTTTAATTGACATAAAAATGATTTTTTTTTTCTGAACGGAAGGATGTTCATATAGTACTCCAACACTTTGAATGTGTAAATGAATGTTAAATATCTTTCTTCATATATACCGACGCAATCATGTCTAATTTCCAAAGTCAAATAATTGTATAGAGCTATATGCGTATGTGTCACATACTTTTCGTCAATAAAGAAATTGTTTTTTTCAATTAAAAAATTTAAAGTGGCTCCACCTTTTATTTACATGCGTGTGTTTATTCACCTATCGCCTTTTCTTTTTTTATACAATACTTGCACATCACCATGATCAAAGAAATGAGCACATATATAATTATTGCCAACGGGTATTCATAATACATGATGCTCATCATTCTTATGAGATCAAACATCACTTCTTTAATATATTTTTGTTTTTTTTTTGTCAATAAAGTGTTAAAGCATAAAATTAATGAATTTTTATGTCGGTATATTTTTTTTCTTGTCGAAGAGATAAGATTGGATTAAGAGAAATTAGATTTACTCCTTTTTTTTTTTTTGTTTTACGAAAATGAAGATCAAATTGCAAAATGACATTTTTTTCTTGATTTCATGCAGAGAGAACAGCCATAGGTAATGTAATTTCAAGTGGTCACCATACTCCCATCGTCTTCACTTGATTTCATTCTCTATTTTTATGATTAACAGATTAACATAGTGACTTCCGGCTGACATGCTGTTGATAATTGTAGTGTTCACGTATGCATAAGATTAAACTAAGACATAACATGCAGTGCAGTACATTGTTAGAACGAATGTGGGTGGTACATGAGAATTATGAGTGTAAAATTAATGATAAATATACAAGAAAAAAATATATAGGTGTTAAAATAGAAAAAGAAAACATATCTGAATCATAGATAATCAATTTTGTGCCATTGGGTATATTTTCAAAATAACAAAAAATTTGAAATAGTGGAAATAATGAATCATGTGTTTTTTGTTTTCGAGAATCATTACTTGAAATAATGAATGAAAACGAGATTAAATGCTAATATCCTGAGAAGAACTCGAATTGTTGGCTGATTAATACCGAGATAATGAATTTTTACGGTAGTTTTTAAATGAATGTAGTGGTCTCCTTCAGAAACACTAGAAAAAACTCATTTTCGAATTTTGACTTGAAACTTTTTGTAGAAACTAGTCTCATCGAGAATATTCATGGAATCAAAAAAAGCTGATAATTTTCGTAAATTTTATATTGAAAACACGAAAAAAAAAAAGGCATTTCTAATGATGAAATGGATAAAAAAATTTGATGTTTTTCAAAATCATTGATGAAAAGCAACATTTTAATTAAGCAAATGCAGTAAATTTCACTTTTAATCAAAGTCATGCAATGAAATTAATGAAAATGTCTATTTTAATCGATGAATTTGAAATGCATCAATTTTTTTTTGTCCGTTTCATTATTTTAATGCTACTTTTTTAACTTTCTGAATAATTTATTGTGAAAATTTCAGATCATTTCGTTGTATCTATCCTAAGATACAACTATGATAAAAACTTATCTTTTACATCGACAGAGTTAATGTTTTTAGAACAAATCAAAAAACACGAAACTTTCACAATAAACTATTCGAGTTAGAAATCCGACTCTGTACAAAGTTGTAAGTCAAGATTTGAAATTGAATTTTCATGAGATAGATTACAGTATTAACTTTAAAAAAAAAGAACCGGAAAAATGTAGTATCTCAGTAGCTGTAAGCTAGAGATCCGAACTCATTTCAAAGTATTCATAGTTGATTAGGATCCACATAGTTTAGACTTCAAAGCAATTAATCTGCTAGAGGACTTTCCTCATGAGTTAGTAGGATCATTTGCTAGAAACGCACTATTTATTACTCATAAACATGAACTCTTTGCCCTTCATTGTGCATTAATAAAATTTTATAATCAAAAAATATTTTACTAAAATCTACTATTCTTGATTTATCTTAAAACAATATAAATTTTCCTTTTTTGTTCTCCATAATATTATTCTTCGTATTATATGTATGAAAAGACTAAAGATTATATTTATATCTTTGTTAACTTTCTCATCGTTGTTAAATTTTTATGTAACTGTACTATTTACTTCTATTTTATACAAGTAAATAAACATACTATGTAGAAAATAGAATATATCAAAATTGATTTCGATTTTTATTTGAAAACATTTTAAATGATACCTATTCTTATTCTTCTTCTTCTAATCATATATTTTTCTAGATTAATTTGATAATTAATTATTATAGGTTTTGTTTTTTATTGCCAAAAAAATAAAAACAAATAAATAAAAATTAATAAGATCTTTGATATCGTGCATATGTTGAACAATCAACACTAGATAATAATTTATCAGTTATATGTTCAATATTTAATTGTGTATGATCATTATGAATATGAGGACGTTTATAACGTTGTTGATAATTTTTTGTGAAACGATTTTTACCAATTGATGTTACCATTGGACGAATACATTCATCGACAATATTTCGAAGATTATTATGTATATTATTATTATTATTATTTAATTGTTCAGTTGAACTTGTACGTGGTAATGTTGCATAACATTCTTCATTATTAGCTGAACGTAATGGATCATCATAATTTGAATATGGTATAAATGAATCAATAGAATTTTTACGAGATTGAGATAGATAATTAAATTTATTTGTATTTAAACGATATGTATCATTAGCAATACGAATAAATCCAACTTTTTCTAATTTAGTTGTTGGTGATCGATTTATTGAAATATGTTTATCAATTTTTTTATTAATAGCTGCTGATGATTGTCGACTTTTTATTGGTGATATTATTTCATTATCTTTAAGAATCCCTTCAGCACTTTGTGAACGATGTGCTTGTATTACAGAATTTTGTTGTTGTTGTTGAGGTTGTTCATCATTTTTTTCAAAATCAGACATTGGTCTTCGATAATGATGTATCATTGGACGATTATGACAATGATTTAGTGATGTTTGTGAATCAGCTATAGATTCAATTGAAAGAGCTTCTAATATTGATAATGTATCTTTTGATTCAGTACATTGACGTTCATCAGTATAGATTCCACTTGATGATGAATTATCATTTTCATTATATAATGATGATGATGATGATGAACGTGTTGGTGTTGAAAGTTCTTTCATTATATTTGCTGAATATTTTGGATAATCAATTAAACATTGATGTGACATATTTGATAAACTTATTTCAGTTTGATGTATTGGAAAATTTTCTTGAATATTTCTATGTTCTATTGTTTCATTATTTGTTGTTGATGTTGATTGAATATTATTATTATTATTATTATATCGTTTTGTATCAATAGATAATTGTTCTTCAAAACGACCATTTTTACGTATTGATGGTTCTGTATGATTTTGAATAAATGTATTTTGACGATTAAATGATGTTTGTGATGGTAATAATGATGATATTCTTTCACGTCGAATACTAAATGCTGGTAATTGAAGTTGTGTTATTGATGCTACCATTGTTGTTGTAGTTTTATTTGTATCATTTGAAATTGATATTGGTATAACATTTGTTTTATTTTTTCCTGTTGAAAGACGTGGATTTGTTAATGTTATTGTTCGTGTTGTTGTTGTTGCTGTTGATGGTACTGGTGGTAATGAATTATTATTTTTTTCATGTTTTTGACCAGTATATGATATAGTACCAAACCATTTTCTTGGATTAAGTGTCCAACGAGTATTTGATGGCATAAATTTATTGAAATAAATGAAAAGAATTAGTTTCAAAAAATCGTTCTTTTTTTTTCTTTGAGTTTGGCTTTTTAATCGATTTGATAGTGAATGATGCAAAGAAATGTACGAAGCTCAATAAAAATTTCGAATAGTAATATTACAGTCTTGCTTTTCAAATGTAAGGGTGGAGAGAGAAAGAAAGTGAAATGAGTGATTGAAATACTAACAAAAAAAACAGCGACAACAAGATTTCACCTTTTGCCTGCCAGTTTTCTTTCGGGTGTTTATTGAGAGACAGAACAATCAAATATTTTTTTATAAGTCATCAACAACATCGATGCAATTATTTGTGCTACATGTCTCGAACATTGTTTTATTGCTCTCCCTCTCTTGCTCAGTTACTTTACAATACTTTTGACTATTTATTATGCATACATTTATATGTACAAGTTGAGAAACAAAAAGAAAAAAAAATAAAAATCAAGAAAAAGAACAGAAGGAGCCCTGCTGGAGTCTTTGGAATATATTATATATAATATAAAATCGAAACGAAACAATGCATAAAAATTTCAATGTCGATCATAATTATTTTGTCTTACAATATTACTATTTATTGAAGAATGACTTTCATTTAAATAAGTAAATGCGGATGATTTTGACGATGGTGATATTACATATTTAGCAAAACCATAATCTTTTTTATCTATTGATTCATTTGGAATAGATGATGGAAACATTTGTCTATTCATATCATTTGTTTGTTCATGTCTCTGTACAGTTGATATAGTTTGTATTTCATGTGAAGAATTTTCATGTTCAGTTTGACGTTTTTGTTTACGTTGACGATGTCGTTGTTGTTGTTGTTGTTGTTGTTGCTGATTGGTATTTGAATTCATATTGTTATTTTTTAAACAAAGTACAACGATAAAAATAAATATAACAATTAAAAATATTGAAGCACCAAGTACAATGGCACCAGCAATAGTTCCAGATGAACTACCTTTGACTAAGCCTGAAAAAGTAAATATAAATAAAAAATAATAGATATATTTTTGTTTTTCGTTACCATAAATTAATCCAGTTAGACCACCAATAAATCCAATAGCTAAAAAAAGACCTACGATGGAGAAACATGCTTCTTGATTCGATGAATATCTATGTCTAATGTTTCGTTTTGAGATAAATATCATTATGAACTAAGATCTATTTTGTTTAATTAAATAATTGGTTTTGTATTGAACAAAAAAAAAACGTTTTGTGCTATAAAACTGTGTAGTATGAAGGTATTGCTGTATTGAAATAGTACTATTTAAGATGGCTTTTTTTTCTTTTTTTTTTTCTCTATTTTTAGTCGTTAAAAATTATCATTTTTCCAATTTTCTTTTCTTAGAATCTATAGTGTCACCTTCTATCATGTTTTATCATGCATGTTTACTCCTTATTCTCTTTTTTTTTTGTGTATGCTGAAGAAAATCTAATTTCCTTTTGTGTTATTTGCTTTTTCTTTTACTTTTCTAATAAAACTTTTAAATTCTTCATCTTCACACCTTTGCACTCTTTCCATTTATATATGTGATGTGTTATGTATATCAATAATATGTGTTTTTTGATTAGAAATAGAAAAAAAAAAAGAATTATGATATAATGGTCAACATTTACTTTAATATAATAAAACTTTTTTTCATCAGAATTTATTCTCTAATAACCTACATTAATGTTGTTAATATAAGCGTTAGAAGAAATATAAAAGAGTTCATTAGGAACTAAATGATTTTTGTTGTCCTATTACGATAGAAATTCTTCGTATAAGAAAAAAGTTTTTTTTTTTTTCGTGTCCATCTAGGAGACGAAATAAAAATTATAACATAGTAACAATCGAACAAAGTAATTTGCACTATGACTTGCAAAAGTGTTTTGGTATATTGGTTAAAAATATTTAAATCGACTTTCTGTAACACAAAAACAAAAATATGGAATGTACTAATTTTTTATTACATAAAGATTATTTATAGTAATAGTTCGAGAAAAGTATTTCTTAGTGTAAATCGATAATTGAGTTAGTGACGAATAGTTTTCCAAACTTGGAATTGCCTATTTGTTTTCTATCGATGAAAACACAGGTGACTTATTGTGTGTCAAAAAAAAAAAATATATATACACTGAATAAAATAAAATAAAATCGAATTTCTATACGTAAATATATTATAATGAAATGAAACGATTAAGTCAAATATAATATTAGTTTATTTTAATTTGTAAGAATACAAAATATTGATAAAATGGATAAGAAGACTTATTTTTTTTGCAAAGAAAATTTAATATTTCAAAATTATGATTAATTATAGTAAAAATTAAACATAGAAAATTTCTGAGAACAGATATTCACACTTTTGTTGTGTAAACGCGACCAAGCATTTTTATTTATTAATATGTAAAATTACTTAATACGAGATGAACGAAAACACAATTGGATTGATTATGTCAGTCATAATATAATATTTCTTTTTTTTTTTTTTAAGTAACGAAGTTTATTATTGAATATCAATTTAATTCTAATTGTTCATTTGAATATTATTTATTAATCGTTCTGTTGACAAATTAAAAATTAATATACTTAAACAATTGTTATTTGAATAACGTTGAAAGAAAAATTTTAATACAAATATATTGTGATGATAAATATTTGAATATACTCGAACTATGAAATAGACTTTGTCTAGAATAACAAAATAAATACATTCCAATACTCTTTTAGAGAAGGTACGTGATTCTACTTCTTACTACTACAGTTTTTATTATTTTCATCTTTTTCAAATTGTGTTATTATGAAAAATAGAAAATTTCTGTCATATGAAACGAACAGATATGCTAAAAGTAAATTTATTATTATTATTACAACCAAAAATAAAAAAGTAATTCTACAAGTTTCGGATTACTCTAATCAATCAATTTAAGCAATATTTTCCGTGATATGACACTATTAAATCGAAACAACGAGTGCATTGTTAGAATCTTTATCAATTAAAAAAAACATAGTAATAGGTTATAATTAGATATCGGTATGATTTTTTTTTTCTTCATTCTCACACTTTTCCTATATCTTTAAAAGCGTGGAAACAACTTTTCCGGGAACAATAATTCTATTATCGACAAATGCACTTGATTTTTTTTTTGCATAATATTTCATATTCCACAAAATTTAAATATCATTAATTTTAATAGATTGATAATTTATATTGAATCTCTATACTTTACTATATATTTAATAATTATATTTTCATGTCAATCAAGATTATTTAATTAAAAACTTTGTAATAGAATTGAATATATTGATGACATATTAATCTTGTTTAGTAAAATTATTATTTACAAATAACTATTTTTCTATTTTATTTTCAAGAATTTTAATAAACAATATAAAGACCAAAAAAAAAATGTTTTTACAATCGAATGGTTTTTGTTTTTTATACTATCGATAATAAATTGCACTGCCTTCTTTCCTATAAAATATATAAAACAAAAAATTAAATGATAAATAATTATCTAGAAAAAAGAAAATTTACCAATAATTATCCAAACGTTTCTTAAATAATGGATCTATTTGACTTGTATCAAAATCAACACCTAAAACATATGAAAGAATTTTTTTTTCTAGATAATATCAAAGGTCATAATGAAAATTTAGTAGATAGAAATATGTCGAGTTTAATAATTTGCTTTAGATAATACTTTTTTTTTAGGTTATTTTAAATCAAAGTGGCTAATTTTTCTACATCGTATAACAAGAAACTCGTTTGTAAACGGCTTCCAGAAGCTCATAGTTAGATCCTGTCAGATAGAACTCGGACTCAATGAGATCCAAAACTATCTCGACGAGTACTACTCTAAAAGTAAGAGTCAATTCTAAGTTGATTCTTATGCAACATGTGTAGGGTGTGTAAACTGCCGAATACAAATAATATCTCATACTTCGGAACAAATATCAAGTGTAGAAGAAAAAATTTTATTAAGATTAAAAGTAAAAGTTTAGGCTCGAAACCACAAAATCTTTGAATTCGAAAGATCTCCTTTCTAGATATTGAAGTCAAAATTTTTTAACTCTTGTCGCGATTATTCTTTGTATACAAAATTCTCCTAATGATAACGATTATTTCTCATTACAACTGTTCTGAGAATATGAATCATGGATCTTTAACATTGCTGAACATAGTGAATTTTCGATCACTTTAGTTGGAGAAAAAAAATTCCTAAATACACCAAGAGAAAACTTTGTTTTTCATTTTTCTTGAAATCAATTTTTACACGAAAAAACCCTGCACAATAGCTTCCGTTTCTTCAATATAGTATGTTCGATCGAGCTGAAGTTTTTTCTTACAAAGTATTGAACATTATTTCGGGTGCCTACGTTAAAAATATTGCATCGTTAATTTTTAGCAGATTTTATAAAAACAAAAAATATGTATTTCTGAGATATACTCAGTATTTTGATCTTTTTATTCGAATGGAAGGAAGTCAAAAAAAGAAGATGAATATCCCAAACAGTATCTAATATCTGTAAAAAAAAAAATTTCAACTCCACCGGGCTTATTGCAGCTAAGAAAGCAAGGCAACTTCTATTCTTCAGAAACTCTGGAAAAGGGAGCCTGAAGTTCAGTATATTTAGAAATGTTTTTAAATTTAAAAATAAGATGATCGAAATCTTTCTCTATCATATATAATAATTCATTTACTTTGAAATGTATTTAATCTAGTCAATGAATCATTATGTTCGTTTGTTGTTGCTAATACACTTCTATCATTAACATCACTTTTTAATGCACTTAGACCAGTTTCATATGCATCAACAAATTTTGAAATCTAGAAAAAAAATTTAATAAATTAGATTTTCAAAAAAAAAAATGTATCAAATAATTTTTTACTTGTTCATAATTTTGTTTAGCAAGTTTTTTTCGTTTAGCTTCAATTTTATTATATTTACATTGTAATTTTTCAAGTATTTCTAATTCCTTTTCAACTTCTTGTTGATCATATTTAGTTCCATTTTGTTGTAACTCTTCAAGAGCTGTATATCGTTGTTCTAATTCAGATTTTAATTCTACAAAAAACAAAAAAATCATTGAATTAATTCTCATTCTTTTGTTTTTTTTTTACCTTTTAATAGAAGATCATCAGCTTCAATTTCTTTTAAATTTTGTTCTGTTGTAGGTTGAATATGTTTTGAAAAACCTAAATAAAATTGATTTTAACATGAATTATTTGAAAAAAAAAAATTTGTTTTTCATACTTTCATTCATACATGTTACATAGAGAAACGAATCCATTCGTGTGAAAAGAAAAAAAAGAAAAAGATTGGAAGTTGGGTAAAAGTCAAACGAACAAATCAGAATTTTTCTATGTGGTTCCACTAGGTTTTATTGACAAAAAGAAAAAGAACATGGCATCAATCGGATCTGTTGAAGCTAGTGAAATCGTTATAGCATTACGATGTATTTACAGTTGAAAAAATTATTAGATCGCGTCTCAACAAATCGCGGTTCAAATAAACGTATTCATAATGTTGATAAACATATTAGAATGATTTGTAGAATAAAACTATATTTCGATATTTAATCAAATTTTTCTTAAAAAAGGCTGTTGCCGATCTACTTACTGATGCACGATAACTTTTAGCTGTTACTCGAGATAAAGCCAAACAATATAAATATGATTATGGAGTATTGATTCCGATGAAAGTATGTTGAATTTTCTTTTTTTCTAGTTGAATTTATTGATCAGATGTTGGATTTTTATTTAGTATATGATTTTGTTAGACCATTTGGCTGTTTTATTCTCTTAGCAGCTTATGACAGTAATGGACCGCAATTATATGGTGTTGAACTATCAGGTGTTACATATGTAAGAAGATGAGTACTTAATATTTCACAGTTATTATGATATTGCTGTAGATAAAGCACAACAAACAGCCAAGATAGAATTAAAAAAACTTAAGGCATGATTTATAATTTGTTGGAAAATAAATGTTAGATTTGAGTTATTTTAGTTATCGGAATTAAAATTAGAAGATACAGTAAAATAAGCAGCAAATATAAATATCTTGTACTTAAAAATCAGTGATAAAAGTTTAGATGAAAGTTAATTTAGGAAAAAGAAAATGAATATCATAATTTATATCTCTAAACTAAATCTTTTTAAATTTTGTTGAAAATTTAAGGTATTCAATTGAAACTTAAGGATGGACCATTATAAATCGGACTAATTGTAAATGCAATTTTTTAATCAAATAAAATATTCACTTATATATATATCAAAAGATAGAGAATCTTAAGTTCTACAAAACTATGTATTTCACTTTTACAGAGACCTTTTTTATCATTTCGAAGCAGCTAATACATTGAAATTCTCTGTATATTCCTAAACAAACGAAAAAAAGTTTCATATCGCTACTGAGAAACTCAATAGGTTTCTAACGAGAATATTCTCGATGCACCAATCTATCTCTTTTACAAATTTAAAATGGAAGCTTAATATTAACATTTAAGATGCAATAAATGAAAAAAGAAACAAAATCTCACACCCATTTGTGGGCGTGCTCAGATTTTCGCGAATTTTGGCGAAAACATATCACATTGCAGTTGACCAGCTACGTAGTATTGCAGAGAATGAAATGCTGAGTTTTTTAAAATACGATTTAAGAGCAGTGCTGAAGTATATAGGATAGGAATTTGCAAGCCCATCATAACCCATGACAGACACATTAGCAATGTTTTCCTGCTCCGTGCTACAGACGTTGATATGTAGTTACAGACCGTATATCAATAACATCTTGCTATAATATATAAAGTAATTGCCTAAAGCAATGTCTTTATGTTGCGCTAAAGCTTTTTTTTTATGTTCAAATAAGGACTTTGCAACTAAACTTCAAATCTAAAAAAAGAACTTCATTGTTTAAAAAATCTTCCCAGAATCACTATGAAGGATATTGTCAATTCTTCAGTAAAGCTTCGGTATTCGACAGTGGATCAGCCAAGTAGAGGACAAAGTTCTTTGTTTTCGACATCCTCCATACTTTTGCAAGATATGAGCAACGAATACATGCTAAAATATTCCTAATTCTGAATTGTTGTTATTTAAATATAATGTTACTGGAATATAGACGCGGAGAGACATTTTCTAAAGGACATTCTAGACTGTTTTTCCAAGCAACGGTGCGTCGCAGTGGAAATACTCATGAATTTAAATGAGAAGAAAATTGAATTTACATTTAATCGGATTTGTTATGGTCCATCCGTTTCTTTTTTACTAATAGAATATTTCTTTATTGAATACTTTCTAGTATTTATCAAGTTCATGATGAAATTAAAGATTGAATATTTGAATTAGAATTAAGTCGAGTTGGACAACGTAAGTAGGAAAAAAAAATAAAACTTTAATTAAATTTCAATTTTTGAATTTGTTTAATTAATGATAGAAACCATTGAAAGAGTACCAATACATATCTTTGAAGATGCTGAAAAATATATTGAAGTAAGACATATTTTGATTTTATTCTCAATTGTGTAATTATGTACTTTTAGACATCATTGGAAGAAGCAGATAATGACGAAATGTAGCAATTTATCGTTAATTTTTCATTTTTTTTTTGTTATTTAAGACGAATTATATCGTCCGAGATGAAAAGTTGTTTTTTTTTTAATCTTGATCATAAAGAAAAAAATTCCACACTCATTGATAAATAATTAAAGTAACAAAAGAAAAGTATGTTTATCTCTCGTTATGTGGTTCTTCATTACAGATATGAGCGTCAAAGCAAAAAAAAATGACTTTATCATTTTTCTTTTCTTATCATCGATCACGTATAAAGCTAGTACATTTATCATAAGAAAAAAATAACCTAAAACATTTGTCAATTTTTATTTGAAATGGAACATTCAAAATTGTATAAATTGACTGAACAAGCATCGAAGAAATTATATGAATCTGTCAATGATATTGAATCATTGAATCAATGGAAAATACAAATGATTAATTTAATCGATGAAATTGCTCAATTAAAATTATCTACATCAATAGAAATTAATAAAATAAATAATACATCTCTTGATCCTACAGATTGGTTATCAAGTAGACATATCGCACATCAAATGCTTGATTCATCTATAGAATTCATTCAAACAGTACGAAGTCATCCTGTTTGGCAACCGATTCCCATCGAAGTTCGTAAATCTATTGAACAGGAATCTTTACCTGAACAAGGTCAAGCATTATCAAAGGTATGTCATGATGCATTAACATATATTTTTCCATATATTAGAGGTAATATTCATCCTCGTTTTTGGGGATGGGTTATGGGTGAAGGTACATTAGGTGGTATATTAGCTGAAATGATGGTGGCAACTATGAATATCAATGCAGGAGGATGTACTCATAGTGCTGTTCTTGTTGAACGAACAGTTATTCAATGGATGCGACAATTATTTGGTTTTCCTAAAGATAATAATGGTGGTATTGTTGTTAATGGAACATCAATGGCTTCTATTATTTGTATGGCAACAGCACGTCGACAATTTTTAATTAATATTAGACAAGATGGAATTGTCAATGGACCACAATTAATTGTTTATGCATCAAAAGAGGTACATATATGTATTGGTAAAGCATTAGAAGTATTAGGATTTGGTTTAAAAGCAATGCATTCAATATCTGTTGATGATAATTTTTCTATTAAAATTGATGAATTAAAAAAAACAATAGAAAATGATCGAAAAAATGGTTTAATTCCATTTTGTATCATTGGAAATGCCGGTATAATTTTAGTATTAAAAAAGATTTTTTTTATAATTTGTTTTTTAAACTTATTTCTTTGTATGTATATTTTAGGCACAGTAAATACAGGTGCTTTTGATAATCTTATTGAACTTTCAACAATTGCTCGTAAAGAAAATATGTGGTTTCATGTTGATGGTGCTTTTGGTGGTTTAGTTATACTTGATCCAGAACGTCGTCATTTAGTACAAGGTATTGAACAAGCAGATTCTTTAGCATTTGATTTTCATAAATGGTTTCATTGTCCATATGCTGCTGGTTGTGTTCTTATTCGTAATGGTACTCATCTTTTATCGACTTTTTCTGTTCATCAATCATATTTAGCTGATAATGAACGTGGTTGTGCAGGTGATAAACCATGGTTTTGTGATTTAGGTCTTGAATTATCACGTCCATTTCGAGCATTAAAAGTTTGGTTTACATTAAAAGAACATGGAATTATAAAATTAGGTCAAAAAATTTCAGATAATTGTCAACAAGCTCAATATTTAGCTTCATTATTAGAAAAATATAAAGATTTTATTCGTATTCTTCGTCCTATAACATTAAATATCGTTAATTTTCGATTGGAACCTAAAGAATTAGATATATTGAATAATGAATTAATTGATATATTTAATAATGAACTTCTTGCTGATATTCAATTATCTGGTATAGCAGTAGCATCAACAACTCGTATATATAATCAACTTTATATTCGTGTATGTATTGTTAGTCATCGATGTATTTTAGAAGATTTCGATATTTTTGTGGACAATCTTCTTAAATTTTCTCATACTCGACTTCAAAATCTTAAGCAATCAATAAATTCAGTTGATCAAGAGTAAATTATTTTTTTTTTGTGACAGACCACAAATATTGATTAGATGTTTTTGATTTTATTTCGATAGTATTGTCTCTGTTTTTCTTCGTATTACATTCATAAGATATGCATGGCATCATAACTATTGTATTCAAGTAGAACTACTAAAAATAATATCAATGATTAAAAATATTCTATAGATTTCTTAATGTTATGAATACGAGAAATTGTATTTGTATTGATCTTATCAGACATTACTATTTGACTTGGTTTTTGATTTCGTAATGAACGCATTCCGATAGAAACTAAAATGAATATCGTAGTAAAATTTATAAATCTTTTAAAATAACAACAATATTTTCAGCTAAAACAAACTTCATTAAATTTATATCACATTTATGTAATATTTTTCTTGACGAGAATGAATATTAGTTATTATTACATGTTTTTCAAAGCAGACACTAAACACAATTATTAAACTTAGTAGAATATAGGGATGTACCAATTTCTAGAACGTAATGTCAAAGATGACCGCATTTGCTTCTTAGATTTCGTCTAATACAAAACACAAATCTTAAAATCAGTTGAAATTGGTCAAAAAAAAACTAAAAATGCAAATTTTCGACTTATTCCGAAACCTTTGTTTTGTATTTCATGAATTTCGACTAGAGCAAATAAAAACTGATCATGACTGATATAAACAATCCACAGAGAACTATATTCAAGAAAAAAAAATGTCATCTTGGATATTACATCCTAATAATTAGTGCATCTCTAGTACAATCCCTCGAAAACAATAAACCAAATAGACATTGAAAAACGTCTATATAGTTCAAGAACATTACATGCAACTATGCAATATGATTTAAAAAATTGATTGACGTATTATAATAATTATTTGAAAGAAAATTATGCTGTACTAAATGCATGTATATTAGTTGAAGGTGAATTTGATGCAAAAACGATCAATACAATCATTATTCGATATATAAATATTTAATTTTATTTATAGAGTGTATTGGCAAAGAACAATTAATGTAGTGAATAGATAGTATTTAGACTATTTATTAATAATTCGAAAATCTTTAATTGCGGATTTGAATATTGAAATTCTGAATTCTTCATAAATCTTATATATAGTCATTCTATTAGTATAACTTCAGTGTATTTGTTGCATATCAACTTTCATTCATTTTTAATTACAATTGTGTTTTTTTTTCAGATAAATTTTTTTTTATGTTGATTTTCCTGTTCAAATTGATACGATGATACACATCATCTTTTATCTGATTATTTTCTTATGAAAAACCGAACACATCACTGTAAATGGATGATTGCACTTCAGTTTGATCTGATCAATGCAGAATTACATTTTGGTAAGAACGGAATATCAGCACAAATTAAGTTAAATCTAATTTGATTTGCTTTAGATCGATTAGATTAACTAAAGACACACAGTTTGTTCTATTACGCTTGAGAAAAGTTAGAAAAATAGGTTTGTTCCTGTTGTTTTCGATTTTGTAAATAATAGAAACATTGTAGAAATCTTAATGATTTACTCTTATGACTAGAAATAATATTTAGATTGAAATAGATATTAATATATTAAATAGTTGTTGTTACTTGTTTAGCTGCCAATGAACAGAAAAACCAAGATGAAATATACTAATTAACAAGTCAATCGAAAACATATTATCGGTATCAAAGTGATTTTAATCAATGTATCTTCTCATTGCATACATCGATCAATGAATACAAATATTGCATGACAAAGTTTCTATTCATTCTCAAAATATAATACATTGTCTCAAATAATCATAGAGCAGTTAAACAAAAGATGCATTACAAATAAATGATCAATCAATATTGAATTTAGCTCATAATATGAACAGATATGTTACTAGTTTCTCAAGATTAGGGATGAATAACTAGTGCATGTACATTAATTAATTAAGACAGTGATTAATATAAATTGGTTGTATAGAAATGTAAAATATTTAGCTTTTGCCAAAATGACTGATAGCATCTTGACTAATTGAAAAAAAAATGTTCTCTTGTTTGTTGTTCGTATAGGTAAGTACTCATTCATCATGTTGACTGATGGGTGATCGAAAATTAGTTTGAAAAAAATATTTGTTCATTTTTCAGTCTGTAAAAATTTGAAAAATATTCGGTTTGAAGTACAATTTTGTATTTTTTTTTTTGAATATGTCTTTAAAATTTTTGTAGAATTCTTGACTTAAAGAGTTATGTGTAACGATAAGATGAGGAAGAGAGATGTTATGACAGACTGGAGGAGTAGCTAGCCGCTACTCGGCAATGATGTTTATTAGCTACTTCACATCTCCAGAATGTGCCTATTGCACATTCAACACACACTTATATATGATACAGAAACAAAGGAGAGAGATGACACGCAGAACAATGGGAGAGTGAAGGAAAGGAAAGAAGAGGAGCAGCGTACCGTGACGCATATATCGGCACACCCTCCCACTGAGACTAGACGCGCTCCTGAGCGTCTGTACAATTTTCACACACGAGAGGAAATAGAGAAAACAACAGAATGAAAAAAAGGAAAAACAAACGTTACACTAAGTTCATCGTATGAATATTAATCATATCTTCGCTCATTGACGAAAAAAAAAAAATCACCTAAGCAACGAACATATTTCTATTGTTACGTCAATCATAACAGAGAGAAAAAAAATGAACACGTCAATAATTAAAACAACAAAAATTCAGAAAAAAGTTAGTGATTCGTTAATTTCGACCATTCTTTTCGTTCATACATACATCAATGTTTCTTCATGAGTTCCTTTCCCTATTCGACCAATATCGTTTCTGCGTGTTTGTCTCATTCTTGCTTTTGTTTTTGTACTTCACTTTGATATGGAATTTTTTCAAGTAAACCATTGTTAATTTCATATGTGGCATAGCAGACCTTAAATTTGCATTAATATCGTGAGTCGCCACGCAGTAGAAGGGGAGCACTTCCATGTCATTCTTCTCACGGGTGACTCGACTGTTCGGTCGTTGGGTCGTTCTCGCAGCTATTCGGGCACACAAATATTCAGCTTCATTTCTTCATATTATTCATATCATCTAAAAATTCTTCCTGCCAACGCTTGCCCATCCGAAGCCGCTGCCGTTCACGCCGTTGAGGAGGTTCATCCAAATATTAATCCAACTAATGCTTGCTATTTGACATACTGTATAACAATTGATTAACTTTCATGTTTCCATTGACTTAATGATTCAATTTCGTAATATCGTTGATGTTAATTAATGCTTGACTTTCAGAAGATTTGCAAGAATTCGATAGCCAGGGTCGCCATGTAACGATAAGATGAGGAAGAGAGATGTTATGACAGACTGGAGGAGTAGCTAGCCGCTACTCGGCAATGATGTTTATTAGCTACTTCACATCTCCAGAATGTGCCTATTGCACATTCAACACACACTTATATATGATACAGAAACAAAGGAGAGAGATGACACGCAGAACAATGGGAGAGTGAAGGAAAGGAAAGAAGAGGAGCAGCGTACCGTGACGCATATATCGGCACATTATGAATCAACTTTTTCAAAGCCTGTAAATTGAGTTTGAGCAAATCAAAAATTATTCAAAGTAATAATAAAAATTATTTCAAATACAGTAGATGAACGAGCAAATATTTCGACTCATAACTTCTCAAGTAAAGGTTCTAGAGAAATATTGAATCAATGTTTTCAAATTTCTACAGACTCCTTGAAAGAGGCTAGAAAATGAATATAGATTTTGTTAAATTCATTTTCAATTTATTTGTTCTTATTTTTGATAATAATGATGTATTTATTGGATAATCTTGTTTATTATTGATTCGTTTTATTAACTATTGAACAAAAAAAATAGTAATATAAATGAATAAACAATTTATCTGACTTATTGGAAAAAAAAATAATAATAAATTTTAACTTCGTGATCTATGTCTTTGTTTACTTTTCTTTTTATTTTCTTCATCCATTCTTTTATGTTGATGATGTTTGGAATGTTTTTGTTTATTTTTTTTCTTATCCTCACTACTTGTAGAATGTTCTCGTTTGGATTCATTTATTTGTTTTTCATATTCATCTGGATATCGTTGCATAAAAAAAGCATGATCCCATCGATCAGCATTTATACCCAGATTCGTTGGTAATGGTGGACCAAATTCAATATCAATTTGGTTATTATTATTATTTTTGTTGTTGTTTTTACTTTCATCATTTGGTGAAGATGATGAACGATGTTTTCGAGAATACCGTTTTCGTTTTTCATAAGGTGGTGATCGGGATCGATATCGTCGTTTTTTATTATTTTGTTCTGCATCTTCTTGTTCATGTTCACGTCGACGCCACATAACATCTTCTTCAGTAAGACGATTATGAAATGAAGCATGCGTAATTGATCGTTGAAGAAAACGATGTCGAGATGACATCGTGAAGGATTGTTTTATTCTTCTATATTTATGATTTTAACTACTGTAAGACAAAAATATTGATGGATTAGAATTGACCAATTGGAAGAGAGTAAACAATTTATATATATCCCTAACAGATGAAGATTTTTTTTTCAAGAATATTAACAGTTAGATTTATATATTAAATCGATTTAAATATTTAGATGCTTCATTTTCATCATTGTCAATAATATTTTGAAGTAAAGCATCGATTTGAATCTCCTATAAATAAAGATGAATCGAACCAGTGATAATAATTCGTCGGCAGTGTCAAAGCCATTTACGAACATAACCGAACACGATGCATATGAAGGAAAAATAATTGCATTTGTCAATCCAAAATCGTATAAATTTAGTTTTTGTACTTTTAAAACTTTAACTTCTCTCTTTTTTCCTATGTCTAGTGGTGGTTTACAAGGTCAAGTTGTATTTGATCAATTAAAAGTTCAAATAGGTGAAGAGAATGTTTATGATCTTGTTAAAGATCGTGGACCACAAAAAGGTTTAACAGAAAATCAACATGTGAGAAATTTACGAATTATTGGTTTGTGTTATCTGCTTTGTTTTTTCTTTTAAATATTTCTTTTCTTTTCTAATATTAGCATGTGGTGGAGATGGAACAGTTGGTTGGGTTTTATCAGCACTTGATACATTACAAATGCAATATATGGATTTTGTCAGTGTTGGTGTTATTCCCTTAGGAACAGGAAATGATATGGCTAGATTTCTTGGTTGGGGTGTTGGTTATCGTGGTGAAGCATTAGCACCAGTTATTCAATCATTAGGAAGAGCGGAAACACGTTTGCTTGATCGATGGAACATTGATATTCAAGCTACTTTAAATAGTGGAACTGCCAGTTTAAAAGTTAATAAAAATGCTACTGATTAAAATTTAAAAAAAACACATAATTAAGATTTTTTAGATTCCACAACCTGTTTTTAATAATTATCTAAGTTTTGGTGCTGATGCTCAGGTAAATTTTCGATGAATATTGAAAAGAACTTTTAAATATTAATTCTTCATAGATTGTTTTTTTCATTAATTCATTTGACTAAGATGTTCTTTAATACCATTTTATTATTATGAATAATATATATATTTGCTTTTAAAAAATAAATTACATGTTGTTAAATATGTGTTGTAGTTGAAATTAGAATTCAGCCGAATTCTAATATCATCAATGATCATCTTAGACAATGTTGAAATTTTCATTTTGACTAGACGAAATTGAAATAGCTGTTTGATGAACGCAGAATTTGAAGAAAGACTAACAATTAGAGCACGAGAGATTAGAGATAACGGTGAGAATGGGGTAGATTTCGATGATGGCAAATTGAAGAATAGCATAAAATCATATTGTCATTAATACCCGTATGTTCATTCAGACCTTTCCTCCTTTCTACCCTCATACTTCAATTCTTTGTCTTTCTTAGATTCATCCAAATAATGTTCGTATTTTCGTCTGAGATGATCATGAACGAGATTACAAATTTCAATTCTGTATGAACGAATTATGAACTTCGACCACAACATGTATATATATCCAGCATTTCTTAGACATACATGACATCTGTCTCTAGTGAACGTATCTATTAGAGATATCAAAAACATGTTGAGAACCACGCGAACTGCTATCCGCCGTTTGAGTTTGTATTGGCCCTACAAGGACTTCTTGGTTAGCAGTATTTTATCCAGAGGGGTGCCTGAGGGGGCGGCGCTCCTCTCCCCCCCACAAAATCGAGTTCGCCCCCTCGAGACTTGCCATCATCGTGCGACGAACTATACGGCTTGCCTTCCCGAAAAAAAATTTTCCACTCCCCTGAAATTTCGAACCGCCCCTCCGAAGAAAAAATCCTGAATAAAACACTATTGGTTAGACTAGCAAAAATGTACGGGGGCTCGTGTCCATGGACTTTTGGAGTCAAGTTATGACTGTTTTACTGAATTTTCAACATAGTTTTTTTCGGTATATACTGAAAAATCAAAAGAGTAATATTTTGACATGAAATATTGCCCGTAAATAGTTCAAATAACAGGTAAAATATCCTGAAAATGTCGACCGAAAAGAATGTTCCTTCATCGAGATATTGAGTTTTCAGAAAAAAAATCATTTGTCAGAGATACATCAAAGAAAATCGAGTTTGCTTGAAAATCCAATATTTGAGCAAAGAAATATTCTTTTAGACTGAAACTTTCAAGATATTCTATAAATCATTAGACCTATTTATAAGCAAATTTTATGTTGAAAATTCAATAAAATGAGCCTAACTTGGCTACAAAGCTCATGAACACGGATTTCTTTAGTCTTTCACTAGCCTCACAAAGACGTTCTTGTGAGTCCAATTTGAGTTCAAACAGCGGGTATCAGTTCAGATGGTTCCCTCGTAAGTACATTGACTAGAAGTATAAAGTAAAGAATTAGTTGTTTAAAAGGAAAAGCAAAAGAAAAACGTGTCATCGAATATTACATGTAGTAGAATATTTCAATGATTGATTAATAATTATATCAATGTTGATCTAGATTGATTATATGTCAACACATGATTTTTCATTCTAATAGATGACGATCCATCGACAATATAAAGAATAATGATTTTCAAAAGCATGACACATGAAAAATAAGTTTTATTGATTTTTCAGAATAGTACAACAGCTTTTTCTGTAAATTATTCTTACTACCTAATCAAAATATTCATATTTATTTAGATTGCACTTGACTTTCATGAAAAACGTAATGCAAATCCAAGTTTTTATGCTAATCGAATAGTGAATAAATTAGCTTATGGTTGTATTAGTTGGTAAATTATCTCTTTTCAATTGAGTTTTTTAATCCTAGTTTTGTATATTCATATTAGTAATACTTTTTGGAATTGTCGATATTTATGTGGAAATATTGCTAATTTTTTTGAACTTATTGTCGATGGAAGAAGTATAAATGAAGATTTACTTCGTATACGACCTGATGCTGTACTTATATTAAACATAGCTTCATATGCAGCAGGAACAAATCCATGGGAAGGAATTTATGATAATCTTTGGTGTGCTCGATCACAAACTGATGATGAGCGATTTCGTGAACAAAGTTGTTCCGATGGTTATTTAGAAATAATTGTTTTTAAACATTTTGAATTAGCACATATTCGACTTGGACGACGTGGTCAGCGACTAGCACAAGGTACAGAAAAAAAACAACATACAATAATTTTTTTCTTCTTTTGAAATAAATCTTTTTGTTGTTTTTACTAAAGGAAGTGAAATCAAGTTACGATTTCGACGAGATGTACCTATGGAAATAGATGGTGAACCATTTTTACTTGGCCCTTGTCAGATGACAATAACACGAAAGAATCAAGCTCGAATGATTGCAACTGAACGTAGTCAAGCTGCTCAACAAATTCAATCAACACGTATTTAACATTTAAATACATATTGTTTTTCACGATGAGTAACTGTCTGAGTAACGATTTCAGCAAAAAAAAAACGAATTTCAATAGAAGAATATGAATCAACGTAGCGTGTGGTATTTTGTTTTTATTTATTTTATCCTACTGTATATTTTTTTTCATATTCTGTGCATCACATAGTTTTTTATTACTCTTTTATTAACGAATATTTGCGTGCCGTGTGATATTAAACAGTCTTTATCTCTACTTTTTTTGTTTGAAAAATTTTTTTTCGAATATAAATGTTTTTATATTATAGGTGCTTTTTATTTTCCTTTTCCTTCAACCAAATAGAAATAAGAAATAAATAATATTTTATATTTACTGATTTTCTTTTCGTGAAGAAATATGATTAACTGACTTTTATGAGAGTATAACCAAGTATGATCTGTTGGAAATTGTCTTTTTTATTTCATGCGTTTTCTATGCATAAATGTATATTATCAACGTTAACAATTTTGTAAAACACAATCTAACAAGTGTTGAAGTATGTTAAGTAAAAATTTACACTCACTCCCTACTTCCATAGATCATGACAGACGGAATCGACAGACCTTAATAGACATATCAGAAACGGTTCATCACAAACATGATATACACCTTAGTAACATTTTCTTCTCTCGCATCACAGATTGCGAAAGACATCATGAATATACTATCACAGACTGTATATCAATAATGTTTCATTCAAGGGGAAAAAACGGAATCCTGTGGAAGCATAGAATCCGATGAAATCTGATAGAATCCAATAGAATCCGATGTAGGACAAGTTATATTAGAATCATATGAAGTATCAATTGGATTAATTGAAAATTCAAGAATAGTAACATTATTAAAATAATCATAAAATTTATAAATTAGAAAAATTAAGTAAATTTATGTTTAATGAATTAAATTCAAAGTCAAGAGTGTCTGATAGTTTAACAGGAACAATAAACGTTGTTAAGGGCATCACTTCAAAAGCAGATGATTATGAATATGAAACTAATGATGATGAAGACAACGATTGTAATAAAAGTAGTGATGAAGATAAGAGGATACTGGATCTGATAATGAAGAAAATGCTGAACGTGTTCAATCTATAAAAACAATACTTTCGGGAACACATATCAAAGATAAAATTAATCCTGATTTAGCAAACTCAGATTTCAAAGTGAAAATTAATGATACAACGAAATTCTTACATAAACAGTGAGCAGTATCGCTATTGACTGAGAAAAATGATCATCTGTCAACCGATAGGTTATCACGACCTATGGAAGAAAGCAAGTAAAATTAAATAAAAAACGATTCGAACATTTCTGTCTATTGAAACATCAATTATATGATTATTGATATCAAAAATATCAAAAAATTTTCATTAATAAAAGGATTTCATTGATGCAATTATATACTTAGACATCTGATAAAATAAATCGATCTGAATCTATTGATAGATAAATGAGGAGATCGGCTCGGTCACAACGCTTCTAGTGGAGGTAATGTGATCCTATGAACTGCAACTCAGCAAACAAATAACAAATCATCAATGTATA